CCTCTCTGCTCAGCTGGCTGTCCATATGCTAAGTGCTGATGGGCAACTTTGAAGCTCTTCTGTACCTTCTGATGATTCTTTAAGGTAGACCTGGATTCCTTTTAATTGAAAATTCCCTTTGAAAACCATTCAAAGCAAATTAAGGGTTGGGAACAAAGCACAAGTTGTATTTAATTTCCATCAACTTTGACTTTGACTCTGTGAACTCCAGTTCACTCTGTTATCAACAGATCTGCTCAGGTCCTGCAAACATAGGGCTCTAGCTTCCTTGATTGAGCCTCTTTGTGTGCATGGGCCTTCAAGTTGCCCCATTGACCCATGGCAACCTTAATAATTTCATAGGGTTTCTTTAGGTAAGGAATAATCAAAAGTACTTTTGCCAGTTCCTTCCTCTGAAATATAGCCTACCCATCTGTAGTGTGGTCTTTCTTTTTCCCCAACTGCCTTTTACTTTACCAAGCATTATTGTATTTTCTAGTGAATCATGTCTTCTCCTAGTATGGCCAAAGTATGACGGTCTCAGTTTAGTCATTTTGCCTTCTAGAAAGAGGCCAGGATTGATTTGCTTTTAGACCCATTTATTTTTCTTTTTGGCAATCCATGAAATTCAAAAAACTCTCCTCAAGCACCACATTTCAAACAGAAAGATTGTGACTGAATGACATATTATTTGAACTTTGCAGTTTACCCAGAGCTGATTCTCTTCTTATCAGCTTTCTTTACTATCCAGCTTTCACAATCATACATAGAAATCAGAAACATGATGTCATGGACAACCCTTACTTTGTTATTCGATAACATATCCAAGAGCACCCCATTATCTTTGTAGACATAAACTATCATAGTAGACATACACTATCAATTTCTTATTACATAATCACTGGTGGAAATTCAGATCATGATGTGATTATGGCTTGCCACTGTAAAGCATCTGGTAAAGAGCATATTCTCTTGTGTGTGGCTGCCCAGAATTTGAGATCTTCAGTGGAGATCTGGTTTTGTATGCTACCATCATCACTGACCGTTCTTCACCCTTAAGTACTGTGGAGCCCTTGACCTTCACTGCAAGGTTTGGCTTTAGGAAACAACACTGTACATTCATTGTCCTGCTTAAAAAGCATTGCCCACCTCAACTCTGTATTATTTGTGGGCAGAGGTTAGCTATGCAAGATTGCACCGTGTAGAAAAATGCACCCTATGCATGCACCTGACAGCATCTCCTACAATAACATGTGAAACAGTAGGAAGGAATGTCCACTCTTCCAAAAATCTGGCTACTTTCTGTTCCTATGTGGATCAAAGAGTTCAAATATGCACACATGAAAATGCTGATGCAGACTTTTCCTCAGAACATTCTAGCATTACTCAATTTTTTTTTTGACAAATAATCCAGATTCAGGTTTGGACACACATACATCTGGCAATTGGTTGGCCCAGAATTTTACAAGTTGATTGGCAATTTAATTGTAAGAGATATTTTATTTTGCCCCATTTGTGAAATGGAATTGGACTACATCATGGGTGCCAAACTGATGTCTAAACATTTATTAGCTAGAACCAGAAACAAATGGCAACTGCTTCCTTACACAGCTGACCCTGAAACCCCAAACATTTAATGGTTTGGCTTATACATGTCTGATTGGTTTTTCCCCTTTTCCTTTTTCTTCCCAGAATTACACACTTTTCCACTACTGTATCTGGAAATCTATTATTACTTTAACTCATGTAACACAGAGATGAGAAATGTGGCATTTTGGGGCTACAACTCCCAAAATCCCTAGTCAGCACACTTAGGACCATGCTGGCTGGGGATACTGGGAGTTATATTCTGGGTAGTAGTGCTCCTTGTAAGCATGTTTTTTTACCCTCTATAACAACTTCTTTGTATCTGGTGATAGTAGAAAGGAAATCCATTCACAAGTGGATAATGGGAGATTACTGTGATCTTGAGTAATTCACCTTTCGCAATAATGGCTATCTTATTCTTCTAGAAGACAAAGCTTCACATATCACTTCCTCCACCTGTTAATGGGGGAGAAAACATGAATTAATGAAAGTTCACAAACTTTGTTTTAAGCATATACAGTACAATTTACAATTTATAAACCAATGACACTGATATTGGGAGATTTAAGAATTATTGCTTGCATGACAATAGTGTTTAAGGCTTTTGTAGATGGTGGTAGTGGTGAGGAAAATGACATCAGGTTCTTTTTTGGAGCTTTGCACTAACCCTCCAATAGACTCTAATGACAGTAGCACTATATTCCATCTCCCTCCAAATGTAGGAGACAGCTATGTTAGGGGTTATCAATCTGCTGTCAATCTACTCCAGCACTCGAATGGGAGCATGTAATGCCTCTGAAAAACATTTAAACAAACCAACAAAAAAAAGTTAATGAAATGGCATGAGAATGCTTTCCAATACACATCCAGACTTTTATTTTTAAAAAACTGAGAACATGCTACATATTCATAAGGTCTTTTTTTTTTTTTACTAAAAAGGAGGGGAAATAAGACTGGACAATATTGTTCCTCAGCTTTTTTTGCAGCTTGTAGCATATTTCTGAGCCGGTGTGGTGTAGTGGTTTGAACTTTGGACTATGACTCTGGAGACCAGGGTTCAAATCCCTATTCAGCCATGGAAACCCACTGGATGACCTTGGGCAAGTCACACTGTCTCGGCCTCAGAGGGAGACAAAGACAAACCTCCACTGAACAAATTCTGCCAAGGAAACCCCATGGTAGGTTCACTTTATGGTCACCATAACTCAGAAATGCCTTGAAGGCACACCACCACCACAGCACGTCTTTTGACAGTCCCTCATTTTCTCCACCCTGATTTTTTTGTAGCGAACCCCCAAAGCCCTTCAAAAATAAAATAAAATAATGAAAAATGGACTTCTGAACTCTTCTGATTTTATTTTTTACCAGATTTTTCAGCCTGCAGAAAGTCCTGAACTCCAATAATAGGTCCTCTGACCTTCCAGATTTGCCATTCCTGCTTTAAATGCACTCGTGGAAGAGGAGGTTACAGAGGAGGAGGAGGAGTGTCCCCCTCCTGGCATTTATATCAGAGACATTACCCAAGCAAATACACAGCCAGGGAATCACATTTCACACTTCACCCACTGTTATGATGCCTTCCAATATGGCAATGTTAGGCTCTGGAATGTAATATATTAGCTAAGAAAGGTCAACAGACTCTGTGTGGCCATTTTCATGAGCCCTTAAAAATACCCACTGGAGCCTGAGTGCAAAACTCAAGGCATGCACTGATGCCTAGAAGTCAGCACGCCCAGGTAAGAGGTGGCTCTGAAGACTACCTGTACTAATACTGTTTAGCACCCTGCCTTGGAGGCTGGTGGACCCTCCCTATTTGGAGGTTTTTAAACAGTGGTTGGATAGCCATCTCTCATGAGTGCTTTATTTGTGTATTCCCACATTGCAGGGTTGGCCTAGGCAGCCCTTGTGGTCACCTCCAACTCTTTGATTCTATGATTCAATCTGTGGGCATGCAGACATACACAGAAACTTGTGGTCTCTGTGCTCAGATAATGGGAACAACATCTTGTTATGTTCCCATGTCCAGATGCAAGATTAATAAGCATCCTCTGGTCTGGAACATCCTGGGGGCCCTCTAGATGTCTAGGAGGATGACATTGTCTCTGTAGGAACACAGGAGAAACCTAACCAGATGCTGCTGGGGTGAGAATGCAAAGTGGTGGCTTCCCAAATGTTCTCAATATACCCTAGAGGGCATGAGGTAATTTCTCCACATCATGGCCCTCTCTGGGATGTTTTCTATTGGGAAAATACCAGTCCTGAGCCTAAAATGGCCCACTGCCAAAGTTGCTTCCAGGCAAAAAGATTTTTGCAAAAAAACTTTGCAAAAGTTTTTTTGGGAGTCTCTAGTAGGCACAAAAATCCCTGGGTGCTCCTGGCCCATATCTCCCCTATATCTGATGTAAAAAGTAAAAGCTTGATCCTCTCAAATTCTGCTGCCAAAATGAAAATGAAAAGAGTAACTATCCAGATGTACTCAGAATGTACTACAGTGTCACATTTTCCAACAAAGCCATAGGTACATGACACTAACTATATCTGACCAAAAGTTAATATATACATCGTGAATATGTACTTTTTTCCAGCATCCCAAGCCAGGGGAAACTGTGCTCAGGCAGAAATGTAAGCTAGATTCAAAGCCCTCATCCTGCCTAAAATTAGATTTTAAAATTATGTTTTCCACTTTATAGCACAAACAAGATTTTTTTCCTGGACCCTGTTACCACTAGTTAAATGTAGTAGCATGCCACTTGCTGGACTCATAGGGACTGCAAAGTTTTTATTTATACAAAGTTTCAAATTAAAGCCAGCAGGCCAATTTTTACTCTGCTGTTATTATTGCTAAGGTTCCTCTGGTTCTAATAGGAGGTCTATTCATACGGTAAAGTATCCCTCAGCCCTCAAAACTAGACTTGGCCTATATTTCACATGTTGATAGCATATTACTGCTCACTGAAAATTGCTTCATTTGGTCATTTGATAGTCTTGTGTTTCTGTATTAGGACATTTCCAACTGCTAAAAGATATTTCAGTGGGTACTGGGCCACAATAACATAGCTAAATATTGTTCATTTACAGAAATATTGATTGTGACAGATTATGAACTCCAAATTATTTACATCCCAGAAGTCATGTAAAAGTATGCTAAATTTTTCTTTTTGTATATAGATTTTTTTAAAAAAGAGTTGAAATTTAAAGGAATAACATTTAATTCTACTGCCCTTTCTTTTCTTATTTTTTGAAAAAAAAGATGATTGATAATTGATTATTGATTTCATCTCCAATTGTGGGCAATGCTTTTTAATTCCCAGATTTCACAAAGGAGACAGGAGAAGCTCAGGTTATTTGTACGGTTTATCAGACATTATATTTGACCCATAAGAAGGTACAGCTTTCCCTACTTTGTCTGTTCATATTTTCTGGTGCTGACATGTTGACCACATTCCAAACAAGCAAGCAAGGAACATTTAACTCAAGAGTCAGTATAAGACTCTGTGAGCAAAGTGGCAATCCTAAAATATTACATGTATGTTATTTCTTTGTTAACATAATGAAAACTGAATGAAAACTTTGTCAACATTCATAACTTGATGGGCTCCCAATTGCACTGGGAAATGGAAACTGAAACACAACTGAAGTATTTTTGGTCCAAACAGAAACTGGAATCACTTTCGGTCTCAAGAACTTTTTGATATTTCCCTGGGTCTGTACAGTTGGCCCTCCACATTTGTGGCTTTGACTTTTGCAGCTTTGATTGCAGTTTTGATTAATATATTGTCT